GTGACGAGATCCAGGTTAGGGAAGTGTAAGTTTGGATCGTGGGATAAACTGAAGAAGCATATGAAGAAGCAATTTTTGCCCTACAATTATGTTCGGACCATATACCACAACTGTAGAATCTGCGTCAAGGTTTGAAAACGGTTAGTGACTACACTACGAAATTTTACATGTTGATTACGAAGAATGAGGTGATGGAGATGGAAGATCAATTGTTATCACGATATGTAGGTGGTCTTCATCCTCAAATACAGGATACACTGAACAGTTTCTGATGCACATCAAAAGGTAATACAGGTAGATAAACAGCAGTCCAGAAGAAGTATAGTTCATTTCACTGCGGGTAGTTCTTCCAATAATCCACAGCAGCAGATGACACGTCCTGATAATCCTACTCAACCTGGCCCTCCTAATGGTGGCAAAAAAGCTCGGAGGTTCGGACGGCTCGGAAAAGGCCCGACCTGGGCCAGCTCGGGCTCGGTAAAATCGAGCCCAGGCTTGGGTCGAGCCTCACTTTGGGGAGTCGGCTCGAGCCCGGGCCGGCATGTGGAACGGGCGAGCCTCCTATTTAAAAAAAAAAATTTTTAAAGGTAGCTAAGAAAAAATAATAAAAAATCCGAACCAGCTCGGCCCGCTAAGACTCGGGCCAAAAGCTCGGGCTGGGCCTCATTTTTTTGGTCGGGCTCGGCTCGACTCGACTCGGGCCTAAAAAAGCTCGGTCCAAAAAAGTTCGGGCTCGACTCGAGCTTTTTTTTCTGCTCGAATCGTTGACATCGCTAGGCCTTCCTAGAAGTAATCATGTTCAACAGCCCGTACGTCCTGGAGGTGGTATTTGTTGTTTTACATGTGGAGGTACATGCCATACACAGTTTGAATGTCCCAAGAATTTGCGCAGAGGACTCTTTGTTGAAAAGGGGTATGGAGGTTATGAAAGTCTGCTTGTTTATGACAATGAAGACACTGAAGAGGCCACAAAGGAAGAAGAATTTGTAATTCGTGATGTGAGTTAGGCATTGGTGGTGAGG